ACACCATAGAAAAGAGTGTGGTACCCATGCTTTAAAAGAGGAATAGGCTCTTTTGAAATAAGGGAGAAGAAAATGGCAGAACATTCTTCTATTTCAGAAATATTATTGCTGTATGTCAGTACTTGCAGTTCTGCTAAAGCTTGTTCCTTACTGAGCTTCAGATACAAACCATTTGTGTAGCTCAGACAGAGGGTAAACCAGGCCAAATCTGCCTTTGCTTTAGAGAAGGCATGTGGACTCTGGGCCAGGAGAGCAGGGAAATAAATTTTACTATAAATTTGGAATGAAACTGGAACTGTGTATTTTCTCCCACTTTCCTACCTCCATAACCTACCATGAAAAGTCTTCAGTCACCAAATAATGTAAAAAGTAATGATGAAGGCTGATGGAGCAAGGACTATGGTGCTGATAGCCTTTCCTTTTTCCCTGAGAAATTTGTGTTCACAGTAAGATAATAATGTGAAGATGTGTCTCTTAAAAATAATAATAAAATAAATAAATAAAAAAAAGTGAATACTAAGACAAAAGAATGAGGCAAAAGAATGTGGTAAAAATTTTTTTCAGCAGCTTTAAGATTGGAGTAAGCAGCTCCAAAAATGCTTTATTTAAACCAAGGAGACCTCTGCTGTATTGGGTTAAAAAAAAAACAACAATACAACCTCTTATGACTTTGACATTAGATAACACTGAAGGTGCTCATAGAACTAAGCTATAAAACATATATATATATATGTGATAATACATATTATACTACTGCTAACTGCTTAATTCAAAGTTGTATTCTGGTGTTCAGATTCATTACTTTATTTTCCTTGTCTGACAGTTGTTTTGGGATGGTGAAGAATGGAAAATTTTTAACTCTCTCCTCACTGAAGCTGATGTCATTAAGTGCCCTAGACTTTACCCCATACACATAATTCTGCCTGTAGTTGGGTTTGAGTAAAGTCAGCTCAGCAACAAAGAGAATTATTTGAAAGAACTTTTATGTTACAGCTCTTTATTTTACTACAGGGGTTTTCTGTGTTTAGTGACTCCATCTTGGGAATCCACCTCATTTCTTGGCTGCAATGACCTTTGTGTTTATAATGTTTCACCATTTTCCGAGCAGTCAGTTGGAGGTGAATGCTGTAGTATTAATATATTTATCATCAATTCATGTGACCTGAACATAATTTCCTTAATCCCCCTGGTCCATTTCCCTTTTAAGCTTTGCTGTAATGCATTTTGTTGAAATCTAGAAGTATTAGGTTCATTACTTTTCAGAAGCTTTATGATTTTAGTCTTCTATCGCTAATATATCAGTTTGCACTTTTTATTGTTGTACACGACCTTTTCCCTGCTAAAAGTTTGTACACATATCTGTTGGTTATATCGTGTCAATTGTTTCATGCTTAATACTAAACCAGTAATAAACATAATAAACAGTATTCTCTTTTTCTTACACGTTTTCAATCATAGATCTGAGAGCATTTTGTAGAGGAATTCAGTATTGATAACCACCATTTACGTGTTGGGAAAGTGAGGTACAGGAAGGGAAATTAATTACCCCAAATTAAACTAAAAAAGCTAAGATAGAACTGAGCATGGAGGCCACATTCATTACCCTCTCCTGCTTCCAAAACATTGAGGTTACTATGTTCCCATTAAGATAAAGGAATAATTTTTTTCTTAAATGTACAAGGATACTTTTAAACCACATCTCATGCCTTGTTTTTTTTTTTTTTTTCTTTGTAGGATACATTAACCTTGCTTTTTTCTAAGGAAATTAACTGTAGGTTTGTCTTTTTCTTAAAGATATTTGTATGGATTTCTCCAAATATTAATTCAAATTAAATCTTTGTGTTCAAAATGCCTGTACTCGAGAATAACCAGTTTCAAATTTGTTTTTCATTTGGGTCTGGCTGTTTTGCTACTTAACAAGGTAAAGATGAACTGGAATAAGGCCTTTGGTAAGCAGGGCTGTCTGATAATGTTTGTTTATTGTCCAAATAGGATTTTACAGCACAAAACAAGGAAAAATTGAGGAGAATTACAAAAACTGACACACCTCTTTTTGTCATCACAGTGCTGGTGAAACATTACTTTAAATAACCAATCTTTTTTTAAAAAAATTACTATTTCATTAAAAGTAAAAAAAGCCAGTCAGTTTACTAGTGACATTTAAATGGATTAGTGCCATGTTGTCTGTCGTATATTCTGATACTCAGAGTTTAACAAGAAAATACATACTAAAACACAATCCATATTTGAAACAGAATGAAAATACGTTTAGCTCACCAAAAGCTTATTTACATGGAGATGTTCAGGAGAATTAATCTGTAAAAACGAATTTAAAGTGGATTAGTTAAACCTAATTAAGTCCTTGTATAGATGTTCATTCAGAATAAAAAATGCCATGATTTGGTTTAACTTAACTCCCTTCCAAATGAATTACAGCTACCTGATACTTAATATAGTTTAAATAATACACTTTAAGAATTTAAAGCAGAATAATTTTACTGCATGCTTCTGTGTAGACAAGGTCTCTGGGAGAAATCTCTCTGCCTGACCCTTTCCCAGCTCTTAACATCTAGGTGTAGACAATAACCTAATTTCAGAGGTAGTCTGAAGTCTTGCAAAAGGTATTAAATCACATTGAATTTGGAAGTGATCTTTTAGGAAAAGACAGGATACAGATTTACAGGCTCTTTACAGAATCGCAGAATCAACTAGGTTGGAAAAGACTTCTGAAATCAAGTCCAACCTATGACCCAACACCATGTTGTCAACTAGAACACGGAACTAAGTCTTTTCTTAACACCTTGGGGGACAGTGACTCCACCACTTCCCTGGGCAGACCATTCCAACATCTCTGATCACTCTTTCTGTAAAGAATTTCTTCCTAATGTCCAATTTAAACCTCTCTGGCACAGCTTAAGCCCATACCCTCTTGTCCTACTGCTGACTGCCTGGGAGAAGAGACCGACACTCACCTCCCTCCAGCCTCCTTTTAGGTAGTTGTAGAGAATGATGAGGTCTCCCTTGAGCCTTCTCTTCTCCAGGCTAAACAGCCCCAGCTCCGTCAGCTTCTCCTCACAGGACTTGTGCTCAAGTCCCTTCACCAGCCTGGTTGCTCTTCTCTGGACCCGCTCCAGCACCTCAGTATCCTTCCTGAACTGAGGGGCCGAAAACTGGACACAGTACTCCAGATGTGGCCTCACCAGTGCTGAGTACAGGGGAAGGATCACTTCCCTGCTCCTGCTGGCCGCACTGTGCCTAATACAGACCAGGATGTCATTGGCCTTCTTGGCCACCTGGGCACACTGCTGGCTCATGTTCAGCTTCCTGTTGATTAGAACCTGCAGGTCCCTTTCTGCCTGGCCACTTTCCAACCACTCTGTCCCCAGCCTGTAGCGCTGCAGGGGGTGTTGTGGCCAAAGTGCAGAACCCAGCACTTGGCCTTGTTGGACTTCATACTGCTGGATTTGGCCCATCTATCCAGCCTATTCAGGTCCCTCTGCAGAGCCCTCCTGCCTTTCAACAGATTAGCACTCCATCCCAACTTGGTTAACAGGTATGAATTTAGGGTTGGAGGGACTGAATATCTTCTGATAGTATCTGCTGCTATCAACTGTGGGAAAAATCTAACTTTTGTTGAGGTGAACATAACCCCTCCCCTGGAAAGAATTAAATTGGATAAGGTCATTCTCTGTGGGTGATAGGAAGTTGGAACTTGGATGGTAATTATAATTACCTATCATCTCTTCAGAATATGATAATTTCTTTATTCTGAAATTCCTGTTTGCGTACATTCTGGTAATAATCCTAAATTAACAATAAAGTATTTAGAAGGTTCTTCGACTGTGTGCTTTTTTAAAGGATGGCATTTTTTTCAAAAATTTGGAGTATCAACACATATCATAATTTTTGGGTGACAAAAGACTTTAGCAGACATAGGAACAGAAAGATTCCTAAAGAAAAATAACACCCATTTCTGCCATAGCTGTGCTGTGCTTGAATGAACATGGAAGCTCGGAGGAAACTAGGGGCATAGTCAGAAAATTTTGAAGAGACTACTCCCATGAGTGAGCTTCTTAGTATTTAAAAATGAAGTCTCTCTTGTGGGCAGGAGAGGCTTGCATTGCAGATGATGGCAGTTATTAGGATTATCGTAGGTAACTTCTTCCTGTCCTAATTTTTCTCTACCAGTTTTGCAAGATGTTGCATGATTCCAATACTTTCTCTTCAGTTGTAGTGGATTGTATTTTTTCACAAGACACTTAGGAACCAGCATTATTTGAGGCTAAAATATTTTGAGTGATAGACTATATCCCCTTTCTTAAAGCAACATAAAGAATGATTTTCTGTAACACCTCAACGTGATAAATTTCCCAACCCATAGAGGATGTTATCAGAACCACTATAAGGGGAAAATGCTGTAGGCATAGAGAGGGTAAAGCCATTAAATCTTAAGAGAAAGACTGATAATTCTGTGTATACAGTAAGCACACAGTAATTCCAGATATAGGTGCTTTCATTTTGAAAATGTTAGCAGTATTATTGTCTTCTTTAATTGATTTTTACATGACACAGTTTAAAAGAAAGGTTTGTTTCTCTTTTCTTGCTTGGTAGCAAACATCAGTGGAGAGAAAACTTCCAATAACTAAAATGAAATGCATCACAGAAATGTTCATTTCAGCAATACTAACTTTACAACTGATTGTACTATTGGATTTTGAAAGAAGAGAAGGGAAAAGGAAACTGTGAAATAGTAATAGAAGGAAACAACAGAACGATTTTGAGAACTGAGAACTGTCCTTCACATTTCACCTTTATGTGAAATAAATTACAGAACTGTAATGAAAGCCATTAACGGTGCACAAATGTACTTCACATATATGGATCAACTCCGGAGTAACTGAAAAAAATAAAATGAGAAAAAAACCGCTTTAAACTCTGTGACTGCAGAATTGCAAACATACACTTGATGCTTACAGAAAAAAGTCCTCTCTGCTGAGGGTCCCTGGCAGTATGAACCAGCAAAATCTGCCTTGCAGTATCTTCTGCCTCCCCTTCAGGTCCAACTCCCCATCCTCTGCTCTGTCTCACATCTGTGAGCTATTGCTGCTTGCCATGTCCACAGATAACAAACCATACCAAAAAATAGTAAGTTCTTTTCTTGTGGCTTCCTGTGGGGTGAGATGAACACTGGTACTCGCAAGACAGGAGTGGGAACTGAGCCCTGAGTGAAAGAGGAAGGGCAAAAGGGCATTTTAATCGGCTTTTGCTTACACTTGAGTTCGAGTACAAATATGATAATGTTTGTTGTCTATGTAGGTACATATTTGTATCATTCCTATGCAATCATGCAGTACATCTGAAGTGATGTATCTGTTTACTTCCCATTCATAACTTTGGAGCTGAAAATGCTTCTTCTCTTGTTTTTTTTATGAGGGTTTATGTTTTTTATTTTTTTGTTCTGCATCTGCAGTAAATATTGCTTTGGTAAATATCTTCTGAAGCCTCTGAATTATTAAAGTATAAATTAGATGATTTAAGAGCAGAACATTGTTTATAGAAGTGCACTTGTCAGTTTTAGGGAGGTAAAAAGGAATAATCCTATCATGCGAGTAGTCCCTCAGGAAGACCTTACCTTCCTGATAACATCCATGTTTCTTGTAGTTCAGAACACTTGTTAAGCTGAAAGGGGGAAAGAGAAGTGCATGACATTCATAGTTGTTGTAACATAAACCATTTCTTATCTCTCCCCTCAATCCCTCTCCTCTGCCTTCCTTCTGTCTCCATTACAACTTCACTATCCCTCATGCCTACTGGGACCATAACCTTAGTTGTAAACTTTGTTCTTTTTGCTTCCCTCTGCATATCTAAGACAAACTGTTTCTTCCTCTTTTTTTTCCCAATAGTCTAAAATAAAAATAAAAAAAAAATAAAATAAAAAAAAAAGCCCATTTCTTTAAATGCTTTTGCTTCCTTATGTTTTTGGTTTTGTTGTTCCTTCTCTTTTTTTTTAGGCTAAATCTTCTATCTCATCTCTCTGTCTCACAATTCCCGTATCAGCGAGTACTTGGTGCCAAAATTGCTAAAGACACTACCAATTTTACCAGCTAGTTCTAGAGGATGTTTTTGTCATAAAGCAGGTATTTTTCCATTGTACTGTAGAACTGAATGCCTTATTTCTTTTCTTTCCTGCAAAAGACAATCTGAGAGATATTTAATTATGCCAGAATACACTGTTCTTTCAACCTGGACTGGCTTTCAGTAAGCCTGGAAAACATCTCTATGCCATTATCAACTTCTCAACTACTCACTGGTCATTTTACTGACACTTAGTAGCATATTTCATGGTTTTCATCCTAATTAGACACTTGGTGGTGTGAGTTTTCATTTTTCAAAATCCCAAATGAGCCTGAAGAACTTTGTCAGGATTTTTTCAGAAGTGCTGCTATCTTGGAAGAGCAATCCAGCCTGCACTTTACCCGATTTAGATTTACAAAGTAAACATCTTTATGCTTAAATCCTATGGGTATCTGATCTGGACAGGTGCTCTGCAATGGAGCTAAACACACACACACACAGGCAGAAGTGAGTTTAGCTGCAAATAATCATGACCACAACCAGTTTCATTCAAAACACATTTAGAATATAAAGTGATGCTCTCTTTCTTTTGGAGCATTTGCCCAGGAAGTGACAAACTTGGGAAGATCTATAAAGTTCCTTTGTAGGTTTAACCCTGAATTGTGTTGCTTCACTTCAGAAGAATAGGAACAACCATATTTGCATATTTTGCAGAATGTTTTGAGGTCTTCTATTGAGAAGAACTCTTTAAAAAAGTTGTACAGATTCTAAAATGAAGCTTTGAAGTGTCCATAATTTTGCATTAATATTTCTGTATTAATAGTTTTGAGGTTCAAATTAATGCTGTTATAAATGGCAGCACTTAAATGTGCCTTCTATGTTCCTAACTATGCATTCACCAAGCAAATGTGGTAGTTAGATATCTTATGGCAATTGTACGTGGGAGAACAACTAAAAGTATGAAGTTAATGCAGCAAAATTAAGGACCATTAAGCCTCTATATGGGAACTTATTGAAAAGTGGAGTGCTTAAGGGAGGATTAAACTACAGAAAAATAAAGACATTTTAATTTAGAATGAGTGCATCTACCTATAGCTTTGTGTGTCTTAATTTCTCTACATTAACTTCTTCATTTTAGTTGATTCATTTTAACTTTCTAAGCTGCAGGCAGTCCCAAGTGATACTAATTTTTCAAAAAGTATGTCTTTGGAAACTTTCTCTTTATATTTTTATATTCTTCTATCCCATTCCTTGCAAGTAACCTAAGAAAAATTCTTATTTAAAAAATAAACAAAAAGAAGAATAGTAATATGCATTCTGTTGTCAACTGATTATGGCAGCAGACATGACCATCAGAATGAGAAATTTCCATGTTACAGACATGTATAAGATGAAAGAAAATTCATATTTTACAGGTAGAGATTAAAAGCTTGAGGGGAATTTCAAAGTTCATGAATGATGGACACAGTGGAAAATCACAGAGAACAGAAAATGAAGACCAAGGTAATAGTAAAAGACATCACATACCTGCCCACTGAAATTGAATGTTCAAACCTGACTATTTATGGTTGAAATGAAAAATACAGATGTTTGTGTGTTTGACACAGCCCAATTTAAAGAAGTACATGAAGCTGTGCTATGCCGAAGCTGGGATTTATCACATTCCTTTATTCAGCTCGTTCCCAAAACAGTCTTTCTCTTCTTTATTTCTATGCTGTCTTTTCAGGCTTTACTGACTTTGGAGAGATTCAGCTTGGCTTCTTGGTTATTATTTTATCATCCCTTAACCAAAACTGCCAACTCTGTGCAAAGAAATACACAGAACTGCCAGATAAACAGTCCCACATGTTATACTCTATAGTCAATAGAAATTTCTTCTCTGTCATTACTATGGAAACTCTGCCACCTTTTCACCATTGCTAAGGTTACATCATGGACATGAGCAGTACTATGTTGATCCACTGGAATCAACATTCCTGTTTGTCCTAAGCTGTTTCACACAATGAAATAAATGTGCAAACAGCCACAATGGTGACAGAATACAGTAAGAAACAGAGATATCAATATCTCACATAGAAAGCCAGCAAAGTATTTTTTAATTCTTAGAGTTACCACTTTTTTGAAGGACAAAAGTTGTGCTGTTTATTGCTGGGTTTAGATTTTAAAGGACCTTGCTAGTGTCACTTTAATGTATTGGAATGCTATTGATTTATTTCTTAAATAATAGCCTATACAATTCAGAAGATTAAAAAATTCAAGTCTTTTGTTGTTACTAGAGGAGTTTCTTATCATGTAGTACTGATTTAGTTGATGCTAAGTAAATTTATTTATATAATTTGGTCATTTTTTTTTTTTAATGTTTAATTAAACATTAACAGTAGACAACGGGAAATAACATATGAAAGCAATGCAGCACTTCAGTTTAGGGTCACCTAACTAAACTTCAGTGCAGATCTTTACAAAGGTGTCCTGCTACAAGGGCAGAAGCACAACAGTCTTCATAGATAGATACCAAATCCCATGCATTTACTTTATCAGGAGTTACAGTTGACTGCCAGTCCTGGGGCTAGTGCTTTTTCTTGTTTACCCGTGCATTTTGTTGTTAGAGTGTGTAGACTTGCATTCTCCATTTAGAGAAATCAATGCTTCCGTCCATCCCCCCCTTTTTTTTTCCCCTGCCAACCATTTTTCTTGTCAGTTTGCTTTCCCCATTGCTGGGCGAGCAGCTTATGAGAAATAAACCACTGAGGCACATCAAACCTTATAAGAAGAAGGCCAGGGCAGCAATTCAGTAGCTGAGTTTTTTCAATCCATTCTCTTTCAAGTGGCTTGTTTAAAAACAAACAGCAGATACAAAACCGTAGGGTGTCTCTAGTTAATATTTAACAAAACTATAGAAAGACCTTTTGCCTTAATAATGCCAGTGACATGCATTTTGTTTATCTTTCTAATTATATATTTATAGTTGACATGAAAATTCTTCCCACTAGACGCAGCTAACTGCACAAAACCCAGTTGTGTATTGCTTTTGTGAGACTTGTTATTATAACACGATTAAAATAGTACATTAATTATGCATCCTGCTATAAAACTGAACACAGAAGAGGAAATAAATATGTATTAATAATACATTAGTTATTAAATCTGTGTATTTGTCATTTGAATGAGATGTGAACTCCTGTATTGTCAGTTTGTGAGGACCACTTACCTGCTTTTTAAGTCCACTTACATCTCACTACCATGGATAGACAAATTTTTGTTAAAAGTCACCATGTGCCACAAATGAGTAGTCTGAAGCCCAAAATTGCTATATTACAGAGCTAAAATTTTACCTGACTGTGATATACAGTGGTAGTGTAAAAAAGCAGTTTTACCAATAGACTGGGCCATATACATGCAGTCAACTTTCAAATCATTAAAAATGGTAGACACCTTTCTGAAGCAATAAGAGTGATTCCGAGTTTTTATTTCTGAGTTTGTTTGCACCACTAGAAAAAGAATTTTTATGCTAAAGGGGAGCCAGCTAAAGCTTATATACTTGATAAAAAATATTGCAGACATGGGTATTTAAAAAAAAACCAAACAAAACCAGTTGGTCTTGAAAAGTACATCATTTGATTGGATTGACTTAACAGAAGATTGTAAGGTTATGTGTGTATATGTCAAATGTGAGGATGTTACACCTACTTTGTAGTAACCAAAGGGTTCATAAATCTTTGCACATCAAGCTGTCATTTAAAGGACAGAGTCAGTAGATTAAGAACTAAAATTGGAGCCAATTAACTGCAGCAAACTTTTATTAAATGAAACCATTTACTTTCTTTTTGGCTTAAGCTAGAATAAAAATTAGTTTATTTAATGTAAGAGCTGCTTGGCAAGATTTTCACTAGGAAATTAAATGTGCCTGGGACTATTGATGCCAATGAGGTCAACTGTCATGGAGTGACCCACGTCTATATTATTAAAATTTGCTAATCTATGAAAGAAGGTGAGTGCAGGAAAATGGCCTGTAAAGAATACTTTTAAATCCTAAACTTTGTTTATAATATAGTTTGGGAGAGCCTAGTCCTGGTTTTCTAGGAATAAAACTATTCAAGGGAGTATTTGTGATACTTCACAGGTAGTTGACTTTTAGTGTCTTGGTACATTTACTAGCACTGATTATTTTCCTGGTAGTGGTAGTGTTGTTGAGTGAATGCCCAGAAGATGGAGTTGTCCAAAGATGTATTTTCATTGAAGATTTTAGTTTCATCATTAAATGGCTTATACAACAACAGTAACAATATAATAATATGTATCTCTGACTTGGGATTTGCACCAAGGGACCTAGAAGTATATGAACAAGAATGAATATGTGTGAATATTATTTTATGTACTGTGAAAGTGAGACAGGGTCAACTGGAGTGTCATGACCAGAATTTCCTTTTAGGTCATGGACAGCATCACACTATAGCTCTGTTCTCTGTAACAGCATCTATGGTTTGGCACATAAGTTTAAATTTTTCCCTCATTCTGAACAAGGTTCTGAGTTGTGTATCATGGACAAGTCATCTTTAAGAGTAGTAATTCCAAACCCCATGTGTATGTTTATAAATAAACTAAAAGAGCTTTCTCTCTTCCCATCTCTCTTTTCTTCTATTGTCATGTCTTCTTAGTTTTCTCTGACAGAAGACAAAAAAGATCACCCAGTCAAGAAAGCTGTCTGCCAAAAAACAGATTCACCTGTCTATAAACAATTCCTGATAAATATTTTATATACATTAAAAAAAAACCCTGAACTTGCAGTGGTGGAAAATAGTGGTCTCTTTTTATGTAATCTTGTCAGTCCATCATTATCCTTGCTCTTGGAAAGCTGGTTTTTTCTTAGTGTCTAACCTGCATTTCCATTTATTTAAGTCAATAGTGTACTCTTCACTTTCCCTTTTATAGAAACTGTCAATATATTGAAAAATTGTTCATGATCTTATATATGCAAAATCTTGACTATAGAGTATACCAAGGAGTGGATCTATTCCTTCTTTCTTCACTATGTGGAAACCTTTCAATCACTTTCATTAGAACACTCGGAAAACATTTTAGTATTTTTCCTTGAAAATGTGGTTATCTCTCTTCTTCCTTTCTAAAACCACTCTGTTCATTATAGTGTACACCCCTCTAGTAAGAGAGATGAAAACACATGAGCACTGATGAATATCAGCTTGAAAACAAGAAAAAGGCAAGCTGAAAAAAGGCCTCCACATTGATGTTATAACCATTCAGCTGTTGTACCATGGAATTTCCTTAATTTAAAACAATGTTGCACAATTATATATTCACTGTTTGCTTTGTTTTGTAAAAAGCCTGGAGTGATTTCTGTGAGAGGAAATGAAAAGATCTGGCTGGCTCCTGTATGCTTTGGCTGCTTTAGGGCACTTCAACAGAAGTGGGTTTGCACTACCTGTTTGGATTTTTCCCCTTTATTCTCTTCCTTTATTTTTGGAAGAGCAAGTAATAAATAATTATATTCCAAAACTGTGATACTGTATTGTTTCTGTAAGAATCATGTCCTCCTGTTTACTAACCTTATACAGCAACAGCGCATTCATTCAGTTAATTTGCAGGGATACTTTGGCAGTGCTGTATTTTCATAAATGCATGCAAATCCTTCTGTTTAAAGTGCTAGGTCTTCTGAAGTTCTGCAAATACACTAATGGTGTTATAGTTGACAGACCACAAAATACTAAACAATATCAGAAGGGTTATCCCTTAATTCCCGCACTGCTGCATAGATGGTTTCTGTGTTTAAACTAACCTTTCACTTTTGCTTACTTTTGTAATGTTCATATTTGTAATTAAAACCCCTCCCATTTTTTCTGTCTTTTATTGATTGTGCTGCACTTATCCATCAAGGTTGGTGAGACGTAAAGACCTTGACACTCCTAGTGGGTTTATTAATGGGGGAGAGGATGTTTGAGTAATTTCCCTGGGGGTTTATAACTTCTTTAATTGCAAGAATACATAAATTTTGTTCATTTAGACCATTTTTCTGCTTACCACCAAGAATTGCTCTCTATATGTACATGCATTTTAAACTGTGGGGAAACCACCAATGGAAAACAATACATACCTCAAGCAAATTTGCAACCTGTCTCTAGTTCCAGATAGAAGGTGTTCCAGTTGTATCTCTAGACAGCCCAACTTTGATAAATCTTTTCAAAATCCACTTTTGGTCGGTTCTTTGGCATCTCTTTGAAATTTTGCTCAGATGACAGCTGAAAAGAAGTCTGCAAAGTAATCTGTAGGATCTGGATAGATTGACTAAAAATTCCTTGTGAAGTTAGAAAAAGGTGAATTGGAATTGGAGAGGCTTCCTACGATATGCATTGTCTAAATTATGTGATACTTGTTTTATAATATAAAGCTGAATTTAAAGGTTAGGTGGCAAACATATATGGAATATGAGATTCAGGAATATGGTTTCATGGGCATTTGGGATAGTTCTTGCTTCCCTCCCTGCCTTGGCAGCCAAGAAAGCCTTAGTTTTCTTTTTCTATAACATCTGTGGCTTCTAGGTTTTATGGGGCTGGTAAGTTGTAGATATTTTTGACTGGGCATCATCATTACATGTACACACACACACACATGCAGACACATGCATACACCTACTCTCTGATGAACAACCATAGAAGAGATGCCCAGATGCTGTAATGATAAAATAAAGCTACTGATCTGGGATTTCTTCATCCCAATGCTTTAATACTACGCCAAAGCATTGCAACTCACACTGTAGATACAAAGGAAGTCTGTAGTGAAAAAGAAAGGGAGGTAAAAAATGACAATGTAACACTGAAGTGAGCGCAGTGATATTCTGAGCGGTGTGAGTGGCTGAGAAAGGACACAACAGTGTAAAATTGCTCTTTCATTTTCTGTTCTTGCTTGTTACCTTTCATGTTTGCTTGGAACCACTTTTATGACTAAGATAAGTTCTGATAAAGGAAGTGGTGACGCATGAAGTAGCACTGTGACAAAGCATAAAGTGATCATTGTCCTTACTTATCCTCACTACTCTTTCACACCATTAATGGTGTAACTAATAAGACTTAGGATCTCACCTCTGTGCTTTCTGTGGTAGTGTCCTACTTGAAAAGTGACAGCCTCTGCTAAAGCACCACAAAATACATTAGGTTATTCTCATCATTCTAAACAGACACATCTTATTATTTCTCACTGTGAGAAAGGTTAAGTGACTTGTTTCAGCTCAAACAAGAATTCAGTGATTATGACTGGGAATTCATATACTTTTTGGTTCTTAGTTTACTTGAAATAGCATTATAACATTAACAAATGTGAAAAATAACTGCGCATATTTGGCACCGAGGCAAATTACCAGGCTGTGATAACCAATTTTAGAATTATTTACATAAACAGTTCACTTATCTGTACAAAAGTTGTAATTCTCTTTCTGCTAATACTGAGATTTCTTTTTCTAGTTCTTTCTCTTCATTCCCTTTGGCCTCGTTTTTCCTCCCTCTAAGTTCTTGCATCCCATTAACCAGGATCTGCTCCTAAGTACTTTACTTTCAATAAGACAATGTCATTTTGTAGCAGATGCCAGTTCCAGTCGGTGGGGCTATAAACAAAGTACCCATGACAACTGATTCATCCTCCACGGAGACCCCACACAGGACCTAGGAAATGTCTGCGCTTACAAAAAGTGGATCCTGTCCCTAGCTCAAGTTTGCAGCACAAAGTGCCAGAACAGGTGCCAAGAGAATTCATTTTGGCTTGAACTTTCAGAATAAACTAATGTGTGATGAGGAATGCAGTCTCCATTGACGTTGCTTCCTGCGTTCTTGCTATTTAAAGAACAGAGGAACAAGCTCCAGTCCACAATGTGTGATCATTTCCCCCATTACCTGATTTAATAGGAGTAAGTTCTACTTACACAGTGTCTTTCTATTGAGAAGCTCACACTCTACAAACATGAATTAATTAAGCTTTATACTCCCTCTGTGCAGGATACGTAGACTCAGGAATAGAGTGGTTTAACATTATGCTAGTGTGCCAGTTGGGAAATACCAGAAATCTGCTTTTCTTAATTTGCACGTGCCCTGGGGCAGATTCAGTGCATGCCTTAGATGCAAGGACTGAAAAAGACCATAAGGAGTATGGCATTAATATTACCTGTAGGTTTACAGTTTGAGGTAAGGACCCCTGCTTTGGGAGAACTGGAGTGCATATGGCAGTGAAGCAAAGTTGCTCCCTTGTGAAAGGGTATATGGCAGAGACTGCTAAGGTACAAGGTACACAGCCTTTCCAGTGGGCCTTGAAGAGACTGACTGTTGCAGTGACCTGTACAGTTTTGCCTTGTTGCCTTCTCTCAACTCAAACCAAGGGAATTAGAGATACATCACTATAATGATTTCCCTAAGATCCAGGTGGTGGCTGTGTGCAGCTACATATTTCCTGGTGGGGCTGGAAGGGTAAGAGTATTTCTATTTGGCATCACCTGCTATGACGTATACTCTTGTGGTATGTGACAGCCATAAATACTTTGGCCTATCAGACTGGGTCTGTGTATAACCCCTGGTATTGGACACAGAACAGTCAGCTGAGCTTAGGAATCATGTCTCCTGGTTTTGTTACTATAAAAGTTGTCTAATAAATTTTTCCTTTTCTCTTTGGAGCACTATTTCTTAATGTGCAGTAACTTTTGATTTTGTTTTCCAAAGTAGCAGCTTTGCACTGTATAAATGATTACCTCAGGTACTAGGACACTGTTGCTAGGAAAGCGACAAGAGACACTGTAAACGGACATTAAAAAGAAAGAGCTTCTGCATTTTAAGAGTAATGGCTAGAAGACAATTAAGGCCTAGCTGTTAAATCGTAGGGCCAGGCCAATGCACTTTGGGACTGCAAATTGGAAATGTTGTATTATTTTTAAATGGTTGTATATCTGCTACAGCATCCGTAACACTTGTTAGTTCTCTAAACCTGCATAACTTATTGCAGTGAAAAAAAAAAAAAGGAATGTAATTTAATCTACCTAAAGAGAAATATCTTGATATTTATCCACTATTAAGTTTATGTCCTAATTCCATGCTGTCCCTACACTTTGATTTACAACAAATGACTCAAATGTCTCTTAAAGCCTTCTGGGAGGGAAAGTAGAGGACATGAGGTGCTTGAACAATGCCTGCTGAAGGCATATGAATGACTTAAACTTGGAATAGGCATAATATCCCAGTGTGGAGAGTCTTTATGCCCAGATAAACCTTTCTCTTCTCCTTCTGAAAGTCTGCATGCTTTTGCAGTATTTCAGGCTACTTACTAGTCTCCAGGGGTCGGCGGTAGAGATGCAGTCATCCAAGGAGATAAAAGCTCCTCAGGTCACCCAATACTTAGGAAAACATGAGGTGTTATTCTCCTTCTTCCTCTAGTAACTCAGTAACCCTGTACAAACATATCTTTCCTCTAGCATGTAAGGGGACAAAGAAAGACTTTTTAATAATAAAAACTGGATAAAATAACATCATTCTTTGTTTTAACCATTAAGAGTCATTGGGTGTTTAATTACTGTAGCATTGATCCCCAACTAGCATTTCAGAACTGGAAGCCACAGAAATGGGTTCCAATCCTACCTTCTCTAGAGTCCTATTACTCAGTATGGGTCAGATTATGTCTAAATTCTGTTTGCACTTCAGGGTCAAGCTAGAACTTCATGACAGATTTATGGAGGGAAAAAAAAAACTGAGTCCTTCTATCATCAGAGTTTACCCATCCAACATTACAATAAAAGTAATTTGAACTTGCCAGGTTGTTTTGTAGAAGTTCTGTGACTAGCATGTGCTGCCTTGTCCCTAGATGGAGACAACTGGCCTAAATCAGGGTATGTCAGGTTATATTTAACTATTACTTCTGGCACAGAGTGAATCCTCCAAGTGAAGTAGAATTCAGAAGGGAACGAAATACCTTTGAAGTCCTCTAACTGCACTTGTAACCAGTCTAGAACTCCTTGAACAGTACAACAGGAACCTTTGCGGAACCTTTTGCAAATTCTAGTTGGAGTTTAACTAAAACAATTTCTTTGCACTTTCAGAGCTTCTTGAGTATAGGTGCTGGAGTGTCTCCAAAGAAGGGCAGTAAAGCTGGTGAAAGGACTAAGAGAGCAAGTGTTACAAGGAGCAGCTAAGGGAGCTGTTGTTGTTTAGCCTGGAGAAAAGGAGGCCCAGGGCAGACCTTATCACTCTCTACAACTACCTAAACCGAGGTTGCGGTGAGTTGGGTGGCAGTCTCTTCTCTCATTTAATAACTAATGGGAGAAGAGGAAATTACCTCAAGCTGCACCAGGAGTGGTTTAGCTTAGGTATTAGGAAAAATTACTTCACTGAAGGGGTAGTAAGGCATTGGAACAAGCTGCCCAGGTGAGTAGTGAAAAAAAACATCCCTGAAAGTGTTCAAAAATATTTGGATGGCACTTGGGGATATGGTTTAGTGGTGAACATGACAGTGCTAGGTTAACAGTTGGACTCCATGATCTTGGAGGTTTTTTCTAACCTTGACGATTGCTTTTTAGTATGTGGAACTTCACTGACACAGATTGTTGGTAGCTGAAAAGGGAAAAAAGAATGTCTTTCAGTTTGATTCACTGAGTTTTCTTCTGAGTTAAAGTTGCTACAGTCTGGGCATCTATGTTCCGTTTAGTTTTTTGTTTTGGTAGGCAGTAGTGTTAGGAGGAAATGGTTGCATTGTGTCAGAAAGTAAAATTGTAACTGTGGCACAATGAGACAGACTGAAGCAGTACAAAATGAAAGGGAAAAAAACAGAAAAATGAGGTGATGTTAAATTCCCCAATTGATTTTGAATTAGAAGCAGAAATATGCTTTGGTTTATAATCATGATTCAGTTCTATCACCCAGGTCCCCATTCCAAAGAAGACCACATTCATTCTGCTGAAAAATGGAAAACTGAAAATCCATTTTAATATTGTAAGACGAAGTAAAAAGGGCTGAAAGACTAATAATAGAATGCCAATGTATACATGTAATTCACGCTTGAACTCGAGGGTAGTCCTTTCAAGGAGTTGAATGACATCTGTGTGTAATTTAATAAATGACTGTTGTAACACAATTGGAGAAGCTCTCAAACACATTGTGTTTGTGTTGATTGCTCAGTTCAATTACTGTAAACAATGTAACGTTATAATAGTCACTGAAATAAATCTAGCCTAAAAGGGTTGGAAAAAGGTTGGAAATATCAAAGCTACGTTTATTCATAATTCAATGATTTGTTGCCAGACTCACCTAAAAATAAAAGGTCATCCTTCTATGACTATATCTGTAGCAAGGTTACCAATTTCAAGAGCTTAATGACAACTTTTAGCTGATGGTTAGAATAGATTTTTTTTCCCAGCATAAATATTCACAAGTTACTGTACACATAGAAATACTTAGCAACAGGTAGAGGTTAAATACGTTAATTGGCATATTTTTATTTCTATTTACAGACACTCCTATTTGAATAGGGCTCTGAGTAACCTGGTCTAGTGGAATGTTCCCTGCCCACTATAGGGCGGTTGGAACTAGATGGTCCCTTCCAACCCAAACCATTCTGTAATATCTATAACGAGATGGATTTACAAAGGAAAGATAGATGAACTAAAGTGTAATTTAAAATTAAGCATATTTATTTTGCCACTTGGAATAACCGGGTGGTTCATTAGATAATAAGCCAAGATCTTCTGGAAAGTTCAATTTTGAGATGTATCACAATGCTCCAAATAATTTTTCCCATTCTGCTTTTTCCACATACTACACTTGGTTTCTTCTATGAAAAATGCTTTGTTTGCTCCATAGATCTTCATGATCTCTGAATTTTCATGCTCCTTCACCCCATATTTTTCCTAGACTTCTTGCGTAATTTAGTTACTTCGTATCCCCAGCCTTTTCAGCAGCAGTGGTAGCCTTTCCTCCTTCCCACGAGCTAGCCCTACTTGAAGCAATGCCTTAAGGCTGAGAGGACAGGATGCAGCTGCCTCTAAAAGCCTGTCAATGATGCTTCTTTTTAAGCCACTAAGAACAGCTGCACAGTGAGGTGGATTTACACTTTATATTTTTTTCCCCCCTATATGAGGAATTACTCAAAAGCTGTAGAGAATAATGAACTAGCTACTGATGCACAAAGGCAAATGAAGACACTGCCTTTTGCTTAGTGGCAACCTAAAGACAACCCTGCATTTTAGAAGGAGTTTTTCTGCGGAGACATTGTCTAGGTCAGAAGCTAGAGTTATTCTTTACAGGGAATTTGAGGAGATTCATATCTTGACGTGACAGTCTTAGAGTAGGAACAAATTTGAGTTAGCATTAAATCTACAGCTGATATCTTACGTCCTTTGAGCACATAATTGTTTCAGTCTTGACGACTCACACAGTGCCTGTAGACTGCAACAAAGCAGTTAATTTGGGGCTGTAATGTATAAATTACAATGCATTTTAACATCAGTGGGGTATTTTTTTTTATACAGAGCAGTGTATGGTGACCAGTGTGCCTCCCCCCCACCTCCCCCTTTCCCAGCACTCCTCTTTTGTCTCCAGGCTCCATTAGTTACTAGCTTTATCCAGTCTGAGAAAAGCAAAAGGCAAGGGAGCAAGCTTGGCAAAGCTGTAAGGTGATGTTTCTTTGCCTGCTTGCTTCCATTTTCCCTTTTCTTGTTTATTAATATTGTAACTGTCATCCACACTGCAGCTGTGCCTGGTTGGAGGAGGACAGTGAGGGCAGTGAAGACCCAAGCAGTAAGACAGCAAAAGTGGGTGCTGCTGGATGTTTATTGCTGTGGTTAAAAATACCAAGTTCAAAACATTCCTAACATTGCAAATGAAAAGCCGTTGTGGCCTTTCTGTGATTTCCAGCTAGGCTGGTTACAAAAAAATCAAACGTATTTGATGGGATAAAGAATTTCTGCCTAAGCAATGGTCAGAAATAGTTGGTGAATAGTTTGGTCATGACTGATCTAATGACTCAGGTGCTGTCTAACAGCAGATATATGGGATGAGGTTTGAGTAGCCCCTGCCCACATTGCTTCAAAACTGAAGCTAGGTCTTCAAAAAAGAAAGCTAGGTCTGAACAAGAAAACTCATGGGCATGTAAGTGAGTTTTGCAAGGAACTGAATGCAAAGGATTGTATTAAATTCTCCTAATATCCCAACATTATTATCTGCAAGAGAATCTTTTTGGATTTCTGTTTATAAATTTATTTTTAATACAGTACACAGAATCACAGAATGGATGAGGTTGGAATGGACAACAGTGGGTCACCTGGTCCAATCTCCCTGCTCAAGCAGAGTCATCCTAAACCATTTATATTTTTCCTTATACATCAAGTTAAATCTTTTTTGATTTTGTGACAGATAAATCTGCCACCTTTAAATGGGATAACAATTTCATTAAATTCATCAATTTTAT